CCTGGGTACCCATATTCAAGGATCTTGTGAGAACAAACACAAAAACATGAATCTTAATGCGAACTTTCGGATCAAACAAGACTTTTTCTTCAAAAACACATGAGCGCTATCTTCTCTTTCTAAAACCAAACTTTAAGTCAATGCATGACGTGCAAAACAGGTTCGATCATGCAATGCAGCTAGATGATCAATAGGAACAACAAGAGTAGATTAAGAATCTAACCTCAATACACGAATCTAACGGTTTGATCTCTAGGAATCAAGCTCGAAGGCCCACTCTCTCACTCTAAAACTTCTTCTTCTTCTTCTACAGCTTCTCTCTCCTCACAAACAAGGCACATAGCAAATGATACGTTTCTAGGTCTGCTGGCTGACTTAACACTCAGCTGGGACACGTGGCACTACCGGGTTGGTTCTCCTCAAAAAGGTGGCTGAGTGAAAAGACAAGACTATGACAAAGTGTGTTAAACAAGCAAGATGGCATGGGCACTCCGGCGGGTAATGATCTCGGCTAAGAACAAGACATCGGCAAGTAAGGGGGGACAATGATCTCGGCTAGGAAGGGCAATACTTGACTAAGCTGTGCCACACCTTGGCCTAGATGTGCCACACCTTGGTCTAGGTCACACCACTCCAGGACAAGATCACTTAGGTGCAAAGGTAACATCTCAGCCTAGATAATACATATCTCGGCCTTGGTGATGAACACCTCGGCCTAGATAATGACATCTTGGCCAATATGTCAAGGCGAAGGTGGAGGTCAAACAAAGTGGTTCCAAGGAAGTTCTAGACTAAAGATGACCTCGGCTAAACCCACACCAAGCAAGGTACAAAACATGCAAAAAACACTTAAGCAAGACGAATCAAGGTTTGCAAAGATGCAACATATCAAGACAAGATCATGTAATATATGCAAGCATGACTAGGGTAGAGTGAGGGTCGTTACAAAGATAGTGAGACAAGGTTGTGTATGGTGTATGGAGATGACACAAGGGAGTTAGGTTAGCTCAAAGGTTGCTTGCTATGGAAGAAGAAAGAGGGAAAAGCTCTCAAGATGTATATAGGCTTTCTAAATTTTGTTCAACATTCAAAACAATAACACAGCTTCGTTTTTATAGAATTTGAGCTCAAAAGGTAATAAATATCTTTAAAAATGAACAGTTGGCGGCCTTCAGCCCAAAACAGTGTTTCTTGCCACCAAGGCCAGGCTGGCCATTCATAGCCACGGCCGGCCATCACTGATGCTCGGCTGGACTTTGATGCCCTCCCCTGTTCTAAGGTTTAAGCCAATTTCATGAAGCCTTGCCATTTTTTAGTCCATTTGTCCATGGTGATGTTAAAGTCCTCTAAACAAGAAGTAATGTCAAACGAGAGGTTCTTCAAAAAATATGAGAGAAAGACTATACCGTTGACAATGAATCTCCGAAAAGATTAAACGATTAAGTAGAAGGCTTTCTTACATATTTTGAGCAACCTCAATCGGTTGAAATCATTCTCAAGAATGAAAAAGAGAGATGATGGATTGATTGTTAAAATTAGACTCTTAGACATGGAAAGTAAGTAAAGAAAAGTTTGCAATAACATGCAACAAGTTATGTATGTCAACTTATGAGACAATAACTAAACTAACCAAAGCTTGAACCAATTTAAAAGGCTTAGACAGTCCTAAAACAGCCCTTAATACATGAAAAGCAGAGGTTAAAAATGCATGGAAAAAAAAAAGCCTAAAAAGCTAAACAACAAAGAGATGAAACAATGCTAGAAAGCAAGAACAATGAGGGGTGGCTAACTCCTCCACTTTTGAAACCTTAAAACATGATTTTTTAGCATTTTTAAAACTTTGAAAATCAATGTAGATATCAAAGAAAAAGAGTGGAAAAGTAAGGGTTTGAGCTATAGGTAAAGGTATAGAATGAGCAAACTCTCTCTACCTTTTTGGTAGCTCTTCAAACCCAAACTTAAACACTTCAAATAGGATCAAAACAATACAAAACAATAAGAATTACGTAGCAAATGAAACAAATGAAAGCAAGAGAGAAGATAACAAGCTTATACCTCTCAAGGGATAAGCTTTTTTGTTTGTGATCCAAACTTAGTCTCAACTCACTCTCAAGCTTAAATTATGCTTCTCAAAGATCAACCAAGACCCTAAGATAGTGGGAAAAGGCTGTGTATGGTGTATGGAGATGACACAAGGGAGCTAGGTTAGCTCAAAGGTTGCTTGCTATGGAAGAAGAATGGGGGATGAGCTCTCAAGATGTATATAGGCTTTCTAAATTTTGTTCAACATTTAAAACAATAACACAACTTCGTTTTTATAGAATTTGAGCTCAAAATGTGATAAATATCTTCAAAAATGAACAGTTGGCGGCCTTCAGTCCAAAACAGTGTTTCTCGCCACCAAGGCCAGGCCGGCCATTCATAGCCACGGCCGGCCATCACTGATGCTCGGCTGGACTTTGATGCCCTCCCCTGTTTTTTGGTTCAAACTTAGCTTAGGGTGGAAAAAGATCCAAAAATAAGCCTTAGATGTTCAAACAAGGTAAATGTTGAAGATTTAAGGTTATTTCAAGAACCAGACTAAATTCGAACCGCTATGAATTCAAAGTATACAATTCAACTTTCATCATCCAGTATATCGAATCAAGCGCCTACGTCTTGCAAGCGGTCAAAATGGGGTATCTACAGAAGCCCAATGGATATTTTATAATCAGTTTGGTAGCAGCTAGGGTTTTGATAAAAAAAAATCCAAATATATTTTGTATTGTTTTGATTTTCTAAAAAAGTGTTGTGACGGCTATAATTATTCCTCGGTTATTGTGCTATATACATTTCAATTAGGGGTTAGTGCTGTGGAAGATATAAGAGGTTGATCAACCAATTCGGTGGATCTTTTAGTTCTTGATTTCGACTGCTGTGTGCATATTTTCGACTGGATTGGTTCGTTATTTTGGGTATTTTACAATCTTGGTTTGAAGGCTTTTTGTTCGTTTATTTGGTGAGATCTTTCCTCTTATTTATTTGTAATTACTTAGAATTCACCTAAGGGTGGTTTGTGAGACCATTCGTATCTCGTTTGTAATCGTTTGAAATTTTTTTGATTGATAGTAGAATCGGATTTCGATCCCGTAGACGTACTTCACATTGAGAGAGCCATGTAAAAATTATTGTGTTACTATTGATTTAATTTTTATTCCCATTAATTGATTTACTTGTAAAAAATCATATTTTTCCCTACCAGTGCCTACACATCTGGTCTTTGCTACCCGCTTGGATAGATCCACTTCAGGTTCCATCAACACGGTATAAATCTTTCAATTTGAATAAGGATAAATAAAAATAAATCTTTCAATTTGTAAAATTCACCAACCAAGTTATTTATATATAAAAGAATTAAGTTAATCATATATATGGTCACATGACTGGATTATAATTATTTTTAAAAAATTAGTAAATTTATTCTTAAAAAAATCAATATTTATTGTCTAAATTTTTTAAAATAAATATAATCTAATCAAATGATTATCAACATCTGATTAATATAATTTTTTGTATATGAATAACATATTCAACATATTATATAAACTAAACGGTTCTGATTACCATTTTTTTTTTTTTTTTTGGAACCAAACGGTTCTGATTACCGTGATCTTATCAAAATGGTTCCATCCAAGATGGATTACTTGGCATGGTCTGTTTGGGCATGACAAGTAGCCTAACTCCTATATATTGGTCCCGTTTGGTGTGCCTGTTAAAACATTTTATAGATTACAACTTAACAGATTATAGATTATGATTTTAATCAGAAGTTATTAATCTGTTTGGTGTAGCTGTTGGATTATAGATTTAAGTTGCTGAGTAATGTTTGTTAAATAAGCTGTGAAATAGCTTTTTCAATTAATTTTTATTTTTTGTTTGTCTACATTTCTCATAAAAAATAATAATAATAATCTATAGTCCATTTGAGTCTTTTTCTATTTTTAAAAAAATAAAAAATAAAAAAATTTAAGAGTATAACTATAAATTAACATGTCCACAACAGAAGCTGATAATCAGAAGCTAGGGGTGAGCAGCTTCTCAGAATCATTTTTTTTTAGTTAAAATAAGCTGTTAGAATCAGAAGTTGTTTGAAATAAGTTTAACCAAACAGTTCAAAATAACTTTTTCAAAGCTAAAAGCCATAAGTTGGCTCTGAAAAGCTTAAACAAACACCCCATTGTTTTTTAAGTAAATAATAATAAAATTGACATTATAATGTGTAGGTAAAAATCTTCTTTCTTAGAGCAAATGTCTTTGTTTGTGGCAAACACGTGGCATAGTGCTAAGAAAATTAAGAAATTTGTTTGTGGAATTACATATTTTTCTATTAAAATTGAAACAGTTGTGCTTGACGTAGGCTTCAATGATATAAAATTGCAAGTTTACACATTTGCCCTTAGAACATATGAAGGCAAAATTTATTTAAATATTACATATAACTGAATTTATTAATTTGGCTAAGTTCTAAAAGGGGAAAACATTGACATAGCATCATTGAATTGAGGGGATCACCAAAATTAGTTTCATTACATGAGTAAAAATGTGAGTAATGGATAGTTCACAATCAAATTCCAACCAACACATTTTGATTGCAAATTATCCATTTCCATATTTCTAATGAAAATCTTCATCTCAATAATTTGTTATATGCAATTAGTCATATTTTGTCCAACAAAAAATAATAATTTATTATTGCGATGAAAAGTTTCCACTGTTGACAGTTTGAGATAATGTACAACTAACACCGTTACTTCCTAATATGTCATTTAGTTTCATCGATATTCCGTGTTTGGATTGAAATTATTTACATACTGGGCTTGTACAACGGAAAGGAAAAGAATTCCATTCCAAGGAAATTCATGTTTAGTGTTTGCGCTAAATGGAATTGCAAGAAAAGAAATTACCTTATTTTGTTTAGTTTTGACAATAAATTGTGGGGGGCGGGGGGGAACAGAACATGATGTCCCTATGCTTGTAGTATATTCAAAAGCATTAAGCTATCAAATCATCAAAATATGTCACTTACAAAAACAGTTTTATTAGAAGACACATTAAAACCATAGCAAAGAAACAAACCAACCAAAGACCAAACAACAAGACAGACCCTTGAAAAACAAGTACTGCTTGAACATAGTTAAGTAACTAAAATACCCGAAAACCAAACCAAACAACTACTGATAGGTCTCTCACTCCCATTAAACTCATTTATTTAACCGCTCTACAATGACTTCCACATGTTGCCACCTCAATGCGCGTGCTTTCGGCTCACTGGTTCCTTCTGTGCATTAAAATACACAGTTGCCACCGGCATGCCTAAGCCCAGCTCGTGCGCAAATGCTCGGGTATTGAAGTTTGCCCTGGACATGGGCTGCTCCAACAGTCCAAGTGGTGTCTTCTGTTGGAACAGGACCATGATGTAACGATGAATTCCAATCGGTGGGCTTGGCGCCATGTATGGCAGGATTTCATTTCCTGCACAAGTAAAACCATCCAAATCAAACAAAAGTTTTAAAATCTAGTTTATTGAGACCAAAAATTAATAATTTAAGAAATAAGTAGGAATCATATGATTTCAATATAGCACTACAGGATGATTTTGTTTGCCAGTCGCCAGACATGATTGTTACTAACTGTCATGTGGAGACTGAAAATTCAGACAAGTGACTTGCACGGGCCACCATCTCCTAACGGGCGATGAGTTACAATACCTGAACCTTTCCCAGAAAGTCCATGAACTAGATGTAACAAATGTTAATACAAGGGTGTTCTATAATGGGAATCATATGCCACGTTGTGCGACTTTCTGGATCATCATGCATTAATATTGTGGTATTCGATAAATCAAAGTGTCTATGCTATATTTGAAATTTGTGGCCGGGACATAATTACAAATATCGATTGGTGTAGGATATAAAAATGAAGTGAAAAACATCTTGATGTGATGTGATGCGATGTGACGCATCTGTAATTTTCTGAAATTTCCAAGATCCTCAAAATCCACTGCCTTGGAACAGAGAAAACTACATATACATGGACTACAAAGGTCAGTGTCCCTAGTAGATGAGGCATTCTCTTACCGGGCGTGATGCCCGGGTTGGAGTCTCACTTATGTGCGATGCAGCTTCCTCAAACCAATCTCCCCTCCTACTGATCACTTAGACAAAAAAGGTCAGGCACCATCAACTTTCAGTATCTTTGAAGAATTAGTGATTTCACAAGAGAGTTTCAGTACAAAAATACCCAAAAATATCTACCCTCAGTAGATGATTGGAAAAAAAAAAAAAAAAGTCTATTTTTATTAAGCAATTGGTTTTAATTTGTGTATAATATAAGGCTTCATCTTACCAAAATCTGCCATATATACCTTTACATGTGAGCATGCATCCAAGAAGGAAAATATATTATTACCATATATAAAAAAAAATAAGAGAGAGAGAGAGAGAGAGATCCATCAAAATTAATAGAAGAGGATACCAGTTTTTACCTCGAGTAGGGTTGCTACCGCCGGGGATGTCAGAGACGATCCTGAAAGTTATAAACAAAATAAGACGTATGTACCGGTTGAAAGAAAAAAAAAGGGGGGAAAATAATAATAAACAAGTAAAGAAATTAATCGACAAAAGAAAGACTGACCAATGTACCCACTCACGCATGGCGGGTTCACTGGGACTTGGTGCATCAGGATCCGTCATTACCTAAGAAAACCAATAAACATGTCAAAAACCGACATGCACTTACAGTATAAGAAGCAAAGACTCAAAACTCTCGATCAAAACAAAAAAACAAAAAACCAAAAATAAAATTTAAAAAGATAGCAGAAAATGTTAGCAAAACACACAACAACAAAGTGAGGGCAGACCAAGGTGTAGAGGTCAGGGGAATGGCCAGTGATTGTGACCCTAGGAGGATTCATGGCTATTGAAGGCTTGATACTGCAACCGTTCGTAACATGCTTGGGCCCATAATAGACGTTCATGGCAATGCGGGGAACAAACATGTCCAGCACGTCCCCTATAATCCGGCACACAATCAATGGATCAGTTGAAGCAGCCATGTGAGAAGAAGTGCAAGAGGAAAGGGGAAGAGATATGGTAATAGAGATGGTGGTGAAATGGCTTGAGGGGAGAGATGCTCTTATAGACAAATAAAAGTAGGGGCCTATGCATGAATGTCAAATGTAAGAAAACCCCCAAGATCAACAACACGTGGAATCCAAAGTTCTTTTTCCATTATGACACGCGGGAGAGAGAGAGCATCAGTTATGAAAGAGATATATAAGTGATTAATGCAATGGTGTGCAATTATGCGTTATATTTGGGGATAGGATTTTGTGCTACAATAGCAAAACTTGCATTAATGCCACCTACAAAAAGCCTTTTCTTTCTTAAGATACATCTTGAAACAATTAATTGCCCTTCTTACCGTGGAGGTTCTAGTGTAGGCCTAAGAAGCACAGACACTTTTATACATGACTTGTTGGATACTTCAACGACACTACTTGAACCCTCTGAACATGACTAATGTGATAAATCTCTTCATAGTAACAACGTTATGCATTCTTCGAAATACAACTTGTGCACTATAAATATGTTTTAAAACATTTATAAGATGAACACATCATGTGTATTTCAATATTCTATAATTATTTTACATTCTTTACGTGAATGATATCTTGATATTTAAGTTATGAAATACATGATTTTTTAATTTCAAATATTTAAACTTTTCCCCCCCCCTCCCGGAATAAACCTAAGAAACACGGACACAGACATGACACAGATACAACACGGACATGCTAATTTTCAAAAAATACAGGATACAACACATGGGGGACACGCATGAATATAATTTTATATATTTATTAATATTTCATTCAAAGATAATAAAAAATGCAATATAAGAGTAATTCCTATAAATTTATATGATTTTTCTTTTATTATTGTATATTAAGTTATTTGTTCAAACTTATAATTAGTTTCACGTGTGTCTAGTCGATAGACACGTATATTTCCTTCAAGTATCTGAAGAGTATCTGGGTCTATAAAAAAAAATAAAAAATAAAAAAATAGGACACGTTATGACGAGTGTCGGATACGTGTCGGGAAATGTCCAAAGAGTGTCGGTATCCGACACGGGCACGACACGAATACGTCTCATTCTTAGAAGTGTCCGTAAATAAATTGTTCATATATTGTATATAATAAGTTATTAAAATATAAATTTTTAACATGCCCTAAATGTGCATATTTTGAAAATCATCGTGCCACTTTGTCACATGTCCATGTTTGTGCTACTTAGGTGTGGACTATCTAGGCCACCTTGACATATTTCTATCCTATAGGTTGCAATTCTTCTTTCTCATTCTTTTTCCATATAAAAACAAATCAATAAAACAACAAAAAGTAAGAAAATAAAAAGAAAAAACAAGTGTGAAGCAGCCTTTGGATTGGCTAGTTAATGAAAGCAAGAAAGTGAAAATGTGAAACGACTTTGATGAAAGGAAACAATCAGTGGCATGGAAGCTAGTTAAAAGGCCTCATTGAAATCAAAAAAAATAAATAAACAAATAACGCCCAATTAGTACACATTAATGTGTGTTTAGGAGGGGAAAGATTGGGTACACAACTAACCTTTGATATAGTGCACAAAGTGGTTGTCCCGAGACTTGAACCCATAACCTCAAGGTTATTTAAGCCAAAGTTTTACCATTGAACCAATGGTTATTAGGCCAAGATTTTACCATAAAAATCAATTAATTAAAAAAGAATAATAAAGAAAAGAAAAACAAGGAGTTGAACAGTTTAAAGTTTACTTGATGTTGAGTTTAGAGATCAAGTTAGCATGATAAAAAATAAGAATTAAAGCTAGTACTATAAAAATATGTCATCATACAAAACTCTGAATTTAGAATGATGCCAACATGATAGGAATCTAAAATGATAGCCAAAGCAAACCATGTTTACCCTGCAGACTGGTCAGATATGCTACACAAATCATATTGTGGTTCAAAGATCAGTTTGTTGTTTCAGTTAATATGGAAACAAAAACATTTCAGAATGGTTTAATAAGCATTTCGGAAACATTTTGAAAGCTAAAAAAAGAATTTGAAAAAACGTGGAAATGTTTAGAACCACAAACTAATCTAAATGTATAAAAGCCTAATGATTCATTAACGAAACATATTAAGCTTTTTAGATAGATTCACTAATTCATAAAAGGAAAAAAATTTAAATGAAAAACAAAATGTTGCTACCTAAAAAGCACGGACACGTGACACGACAAGGACATACGACACGGCAATTTTCAAAAAAATGCAAGACACAACACGTAAGAACCACGCACAGAATACATAATTTTATATATTTATTATATGTCATACTCATACATATAAATATGTCATTCTAAAACAATAAATAAATGCAATATAATACTAATTTTTATAATTTGACATTATTTTTCTTGTATCATTCTAAGTTGTTTTGTTCAAACTTATAATTAGTTTCGTGTGTCTAATCAATGAGCATTTTTTTTTTTTAATTTAAATAAAACACTTTTGAATGAATATCAAACGTGTGTCAAGAAGTGTCCAACGAGTGTTGGTGTTCGACACAGATACGACACATGTACGCCAACTTTTTTTAGAAGTTGCTGTGCTTCTTAGCTATTTATACGAGATAATGTCTTGGAGACCAAGTAATATAAGAAAATAATTAACAAGGATGCTAATAGTCTTGGACGCAATCCAAAATGACCAATTTTCAATTCAACTTAAATCTCTAAAATTCTCCATCAATGTGTTTCTTTTGCATTCCAATTCAATTACACTGCCCTTGATAGGCAAGGATAGACTAAAAAGGAAGAGAATGTAGTATAGAACTAAATGGAAGTGATGAAGGAATGAAATGGTCATGGAAATGAACAATGTACGAAAGCAATCATCATTTACCACATTGCAAAAGCTTCGATTCACTAAGATTCATACATACATATGTGTATATATATGCCAGAAGAATGGAATTGGACTAGTCTCAATTATCCCAACCCCAAAATAGCAACCAATTCCAAATCAAATTCCCCTTGGGGGCATTTCTTTAGGCTGTGTTTGGATCTTGGATATGAGAATGCAAATGAAATATAAGGTCAATTTGTGTCGCTTTTCCCCTTCCCTCCCCAAATCCTAAATCCGAAACCCAATATACAGCACCCAAGTCTGAATCCCAGTATTCTATCTCACAAAATGTTTTTCCCTACAACCAAGTATTCAGAAAATCCAACCTACACAATCAATTTAAGCATACCCATAGAAACCCAAAAATTAAAACTCCATATCAAACAACCACAGAGAGAAATTCAAGACCCTATCCATAAAACAAACCAACAATCACAGCTGCAAAGTAAGAGGGAAAAAGAAAAATGAAATCTTGAAGAAAAAAACAGAGGGTCCAAAACTCTAACCATGTGGGTGGCGATGCTGGGAAATCCTCCTGCATTGTGATTCTATGACAGCTGGTGGTCCTCCCATTGTAGCATCGGCGGTGGCGTAGTGGTGGTGAGTTGTGCTTTGGGTGGAGAGAGAGAGAGAGAGAGAGAGAGAGTGAGTGGAAACCGCGATTATAATGCTTTGGCCACCAAATTCAAACCTGCTAGGTTATACAAATCAAACCAGCTAACAGATGGGTTCACCGGTCGTTTAGTTTGGTAATGGTTTTAAACTAGGTCTTAAAAATTTTAAAAATATAATTGGAAAATTATCCAAAATCTGAATAGTGTTATTTATGAGAACTTATTTATTGAGCGGTCCAAGTTCGAGGTTATTTGGTGTTCTAGTAAGCATTTGACTGGTGAATGTTTTGATAATTAAACCGTAATATCTTGGGAATGGCTTTTGTCCAGTCTTTAATTAAATTGGATTGTGCTGTTAGGCCTGTGGGGTCTATCATGGGTCCCGTTTTAATAATCTGAACCGTTCAATGTGTAGAACTCGTCGAGTACTATATGCTTGTAAAAAATTACGTTGATCGGATATCGATAGTTATGTGATCAAAATAGATTTTTTTCAACTGTTAATTTATTCACCGTCTATTTTTTTTTATACAAGACTGATTTAATCACAAAGCTATCGATATCCGATTAACGTGATTTTTTACAGACATATAATACTCGACGGGTTCTATACATTAACGGTTCAGATTATCAAAACGGGACCCGTAATAAATCTCCACAAATCTAACAGTACGATCTAATCCGATTAAGGACTGGATAAAAGCCATGCCCCTAATATCTTAACACAAGCCTATCAACGGAAGGCCTAACCAATGAAAATAGACTAAAATATAACTATTTAGAAAAGTGTCAAAATTTTAAATCATAATTTGTGTTTAAACTTTGTGTGGTGTGTTACTATCACCTTTCTCTTTATTTTTTAAATTTAGAACAAGTTTCGTGTGGATTAAGAAATTATCAACTCGTCAAAAAGCATTCTAGTTGATTTTTTTTTTTTTTAAATATCCAAATCAATCCGCTTAAAATTAAATAATTTTCTATAGTCCACTTTGAATCGGTGGAGCTACTATGAGTTTCATTTCTATGATCTTATTCATTTATTTTATGACTATTTGTTTGCGTAGATTGTCAATAAATAAATCAGATTAATCTAATAATTATAACATATTATTTTGTGACATTAGTCTTTAAAAAGCAAGTGGTATATTTTAAAATATTATTATGAAAAATATGAAAAGAAAATGAAAAAATATAACTATAATTATTGGATGAATTTGTTATTATTATTATTATTATTATTATTCATCTATACATAAGGATGAATCGGGTCATGAGAGTAAAACATTTTCACTTTAAAAGTTGTTTATTTATTAATGATTTTTTATAAAAAAAAATTAGTCTAAGGTCCCTCCCTCATTTTTAGTAATGGAAGAGATCTACAATATTATTTTTTGATATGTAAGGTCTCTCAACCAACACCCATCTATTACAAAGAAATTTGATATTAAGAAAGTATTTCCCAATTTCTATATACTGGGAATCAATCAACTATAAAAAAGCAGAGTGAAGTCAGTCTGATCTGATTTGATCATCGGAGGTAAGGGAGAGAAGAATGGCATAGTCATCGAGCAGTGGACTGACATTCAAGCTCCACGGAGAGAAGAATGGCATAGTCATCGAGCAGTGGACTGACATTCAAGCTCCACCCACTCGTAATTCTCAACATCTCCAATCACTACACTCGTCTTAAGTTCCAATCACAACCACCTCACGTTAGCGGCGAAGCAACCACTTCGCCTTCCCGACCAAGGGTCTTCGGCTGCGTCATCGGCGTTCAAAGGGGACGCACGATCTAGATCTTTAACAGCTTTGAGCTCCTCTCCGATCTCTCCACCCATTCTCTCGATCGATCCTTCCTCGAGAAAAAGCAAGAACTTTATAAGAAAGTATTTCCCAATTTCTATATATTGGGATGGTATTCAACTGGAAGTGAAGCCCAAGAAGCAGATATGCAGATACACAAAGCTTTGATGGATATTAATGAAAGCCCCGTGTATGTTCTTTTCAACCCTTTAATCAATCATGCACAGAAGGATCTTCTAGTGACCATATATGAAAGTGAGCTGTACGTTATAGATGAGATTCTGCAACTTATTTTTGTCCGTTCAAGCTACACTATTGAGATAGTGGAAGCAGAACGAATCTCAGTTGACCATGTTGCCCACCTTAAACCAAATTTCTCTAGTTTAGAGATAGTTTCTATGTGAAGTCCAGAGAAAATTCGACCAGAGAAATTCTTTGTGAACCAGAGTTTATCTGAACCAGAATTTCTCTGTGAACCAGAATTTCTCTATGAGTGATGTTTGATTGCTTGGATTGATGTTTATGGTAAGTGATTTTCTCCAAGATCTTTGTTAATGGCAGTGGAGTATTTGCAAACATTTCCAAAGATCCGAAGATTGAAGTCAAGAATGTGTCTTCTTCGAATCCGAATATTAAAATTTCAAATGTCACTAAGGACTTGGCCTAACAAGTTTTCTGGTTCTGAAGCTTATGGAATTGGTATCTATTTGTCTCTATTTTTGGTGTTTGAGTAATTCAATTTTCTTTGGATTGAAATTTTCTCTGGTTGTTCAATTTTCTTTAGATTGAGCTTTTCTCTAGTTGTTCAATTTTCTCTGGTTGTTGAATTTTCTCTAGATTGAAATATTCAATCCATGTTTATGCGCGCCGAGTGTTTGATTATTTCTTTTCAATCCCTCTCTCCTCATCCCCACCAAATTTTTCTGGTTTAAACCAAAGAAATTCTCTGGTATGGATTGAATTTCTCTGGTTTGAACCAGAGAAATTCTCTGGTTTGGAAATCTATAGTTTGTTTGTGTATATTTCTTGGTTTCAATGCTCACCAACCATGATGTGCAATGGTTTGGTTTTGAGTAAATTTTAATCTCATCATGAGATTACAGATGTTTGGGGTTTGAAGGATTCTGACTTGTTTGCAATATATGTTAAAATAGTTTGAATCCAGTGAAATTTCAATTTTCTCTGCCCTGTTTGGAATTTTCTATGTGATGTGTCTAGAGAAATTCTCTGGATCGAATTTTCTCTGGATCGATATTGAGGGGTCTTAGATATTATGAAAATATTGAGTGTCCTTTATGCTATAAAATCTTAATACCAGGGACCTTAAAAAAAATCCCCTTTTTTATATTACTTGTGTTATTATTATTATTATTATTATTATTATTGTAATTCAATTGATAAAAGAAAAAAAATAAAGAGATGGTCGTGTGCAATTAGAAATGGCAAAATATTTCAATCCGTTAGTCCTTGGCTCTAATAAATGGATATGATAGCAACAATATATCTTTTTTATAATGAATATGACAGTTAGTGGATCTGCTTTTTATTTTATTTTTATTTTTTCTTGTATATGTGTCATTGTTCCAAGAAATGACACATATACAAAAGTATATTAAAAAAAAGGAGTGGTTTCTCTCATGTTGGGGCTAAAACTAGACCAAACAATCCAATCAACAGGATCGTGACACATCAGCAGATATAGCAATCAAAGGATGAGTTTAGCCACACATGTAGAGCCTAACTCTTACACAGAACTACATTGTTTGTACTAATTGTTGGACAAATAATGATTTTTTGGTGACTTTAATGCAATATTAAAGTGAGTGTCAATCCTCAATTGATGTGGAGTATAGTGGGTTTAGATTCTTTGTAATGAAATCTTTACACGACAAAAGAATGACCAAAAACCATTAAGATTTGAATGAGAAATTGACTCATTAAGTTGGCCTCATGAAAGAGCTGTTGGAAAAGGTGGCTGCAGAATTATATACATTTCACATGTGTATAAAATAGGTGTAACTCCTCTATAATGATGATGGATTGAATTGCCATCAATTGGGAGTTTTGCAAAATCAAATCTCTTGCATTTGTTGCAAGAGCATTTTCCTCTCTCACTCCATGTGTATAAAAGGAGACCCTCTCTTTCATTCTTCAACACTAGAAAAATTGGTTACTCTTCATGTCAAAAGTTTCCTTCAGTTTCGTATTATATTCTTCCTCTGAGAGAGTGTTGCAATGTTCTATTCGTCGAAGCTTATTAGTCGGTGCATTGTATAGCTGGTCCAACTGTCGTATCCTGAGAGACAAACGTCGAACAACAACTACAAAATATTAAGATTTTAGAGACCAAAATTTAGGAACAAAATTATTTTTTAAAAACCAAATAATTTTGTTGCAAAAAGTGTCGTTATATTTTTAGCAACAAAAATTGGATATTAGTGATGAATTATTATCCTTTTGGGACGAAATTTTTTGTCTTAAAAAATAAACCATTTTGAGACCAAATTATTTTGTCACTAAAAGTGTATTTATTAGTGACATGTTCAAAATTTTGTCGCTAAAAGCCTTGTTTTTGACTTTTTGGGACGACCTTTTAGCGACTATTCTCATGACAATGAAAATTGGTCTCTAAATGTCTTTTGCAACAAAATTTTCACTTTTAGAGACCAAAACATTTGGTCCCTAAAACTCTTATATGTTGTAATGAACCTCTGACACCTAATCTGTGAGGCAACGAATCTGTTTTAAGGATACTGTCTAGTGCAGGCTTCGGTTTGCTTCTTTTTACTAGTTTTATTTTATTATGAATTTCTGTAAATTCTACCATGTTCTTGTTTATGAAATTCCAATTATTTGTTCCATATGAATCTCTTTGTTTTATATTATCACACAATTTATACAAAACTAATGGAGGATCACAAACTAACGTTGAGGGCTTTTCATCGTCATCTTCTGGTGAGACTTCTCATCTTCGCACTCAAAAGCGATAGGTGATTTTTTTTTCCTGAAATTTTCACGAAATTTCATCTTCGCGCTCAAAAACGATAGTGATTGTTTTCTCCTGAAATTTTCTCTCACCAAAAATCTTCGTTCATAAAAAATGAATGGATGAATCAATGTGCAAAGAAGGTTTTGAACCTCCATGAATGAGATATTTGTTAGGACCAAACAGTTTGATCTATATTTTCTTTATCTCTCTCTCTCTCTCTCTCTCTCTCAATAGCTAGTGTTGTAGGAGTATATATGTTCATAATATACACACACACACATTTATATTGTATATCTATGGCCTTTTTTTTTTCTTTACCAGATATTCACATGGTTTAGATAACTCTTGTGTATGTACCTATATACAATAACTTCTATACTTCTAGGACTAATTT